TTCATCATGACTTTATTTATGGAACATTTCATCTGTATATGTGTGCAGGACGGGGGATGTGGGTCCAGTGGGAGGCCGGCTGCTGTCCACTAAGGAGCAGGTCAGTCTGATCACTGAGAGCATGATCGTCACCTCCACTGACCAGGAGAAACTGCAGCTGCTCAACAAGAACACTGAGCTCCGCAGAGTCAACAAAGAGGTACAACTTCACCTGAAACCAGTGCTGCGTCTCTGCATGTTCACATTTTGTACTGCTGATGTTGGCAAATACATTTAGTTCTCTCTGAAAACCAGAGGAGGACTGTGGGCGTTGTGTGAAAACTGCTGCTAGGCTGTGAAGTATCACCATTAAAACCATACAACTTTTGCTTATGAATTTAATTAAAGGCTGTTCGATAAAAAGTAACAAGGGACATGTATTTTCTAAAAGTATAGCGTCTCACCTCACTGACCTAAATTCATTTCCTGTGGCCCGAGTTGGTGCGAGGACAGACTGAGAAACACTGCAGTAGTGTTGTAATGAACCGTGCTCTCCATGGCTGCAGTGGAGGCCATAACACCAGTGATTATGTGATGGTGCTGTGTTACAGCTGATGAAGCTCAATGAGGACTGGGACCAGGTGTACCGCAGTGCCACGCTGGGTCTACAGAGCAGACTGGAGGCGTTGGAGCTTGATAACACTGCCATCAAACATTTCAACGGCAGACTGCTGCTCAAAGTCGACCACCAGCAGGTAAATACACATCAACACTCCCAATGTAGATGCAGGTATAGATGTATACATGGTGGATATATGTGTGAGCTGTACAGCTGCTTGGGATTGCAGAGTGCAAAGGAGTACTATGAGCAGGCGTTGATGCAGGAGCTGAGAAAGAACCAGGAGCTGCATGAATACATCACATTGTTGGAAAACAGAATGCACCAGCCGGACAGAGACAGACCTCCTGCCCAACAGGTATTACACCTGTCAGTGGGATATTCTCTGCTCCATGACTTAAGTATAAGTTAATCAATTTGTCTTATGTGTCTATTTAAGGGCAGCTTCAGTGCTGTGATACGCGGTCCCGTGTCGGGCCCCATCACTGATCCTCCTGGATGTCCCGAACTGTCGCCCAGTCACGTCTCTGGGTACAGCCCCTCATCCACCTTTTCACACCCTTCTTCCAGCCCAGAGGCAGGGCAGCAAGGAAAAAGCCAGGAAAGTGCTACCCCACTGGGAGAAGTGAAGGCTCTAAAAGAGCAGCTGGAGGCACTGCAATGTCAGGTGGGATGTTCTCTTCAGCACAGCTTCAATATGTGTTCCCTTTTTTGATGTGTTGAGAAGAACCTGATGTCAACCCACTGTTGCCGGGGAAAGATTTGCTTAATGTTTGAACCTGAATTAGACGGTGAACTGCTCCACCAAGTGGTGGCTGTGTGCTGTTTCTCACAGAGTATGATGAAGCGTCTGCACATCACAAGCTTTGATATTGGCTCACAGCCCTATTGATGTCCTGTGTCAACAGACCCAGATTTATGAAGAAGAATATCAGACAGAGCATAATGACCACAAACACACACTGCAAGAGAACCGCAGGCTGAGGAGGAAGAGGGAGGAGACGCGCCAACAGGTGGCACTGCTGCAGGAGCAGGTATTGTTGTGATTGTCTGCTTATATACACATACGCACACTCCCACATGTGGATCCACACTTAAATGATTAAAGAACAAACAATTATCTGTTGCATAATCTTGGTCCAAAACAAAAACAATTATTTGGTGTTTTTGTCTATCGCATCAAATGTTGGATTGGGAAAAAATGTAAGGTAAAAGGTATAGTTACATATGAAGGGTAGGGTAGTCGTGCAACAACAGTTTTAACATACTCTAATAACCATACGATATATAACTAACTCACAGCTCGTATTTTCACAGCTCCACATCTCCCCTAATGGTTTAAGATAACCTGTTATATATTCTGATTAATCCACTTTTAGCTGATGCTCTAAAAGATGGGTTTCTCACTGTCATCTCAGAATGTTTTCCTGACTTCACTGTCTGTGGTTCTGACATTGATCCAGCTCAAGGTCTATGAGGATGACTTCCGACGGGAGCGGTCTGACAAACAGATGCTGCAGCGGCTGTTGCTGAAGAAAACGCCTCCGAACAAGGACTCCGTGCTCGTCCACCGCTGCAATAATGAGCAGCAGCCAGCAGGAGGCGACACGAGGACACAGAGTGGAGAGAAGAGAAAACAGCACCACCCACTCTGCCCCAAACACCCCGACAGGGACTAGGAGTCAGGGTGGGGGGGAGGAACATCATCATACAACACAGTCAAATTAAGTTTTAAATTAATGACCCTGCTAAATGTTAGCACTCAATCTTCACTTATCCTTCACCTTCCTCACAGCACTTCAATCTGATTAATGAAGACAAATGAATGTTGTTGTTTATGGAAAATAGTCGAATATGAGCATATCATTGGTTAGATACATTTCTGTTCTTTAGGGTTTGTTCTGCTACCCCTCATAATAAAGAAGGTTATAGTTAAATTGAAGTTTATTTTCAACAGGGACTTCCTGTATATTACTGACCATATCAGAACAGGTTCTCAGTTTGTTACGTATATTTAATTAATATATCTAATACAAATATTTGTTGATACATCTCAATATTCCCTAGCTGTTTCTCTAAAGGTAATGTTTTTGTTTACTCAGAATTTGACACATTTTAAAGTAAATATAATATATATATAATTTCCCAAAATAATAAAAAAGATATACTTGATATAAGGGTGCTGGTAGTTTGTTACTTATTTAAACGTCTCAGCGTAATAATAGTTACCCAGCTTACGTCTAAAGGTTATATTGTCTCTTCTTTATATGCTGCATCACTTTTGAGTCTGTAAAATTGTTTCCCCTGAAGTGTCTATGCTCATGAATGCAGCCACAAAGACACAATAAAAGTCAATGACACTGGAATGTCAGAACAGTAAACTGCTCAGTGTTGGGACGCTCCCCGAACAGATGCTGAGGATCCCTGCCCCTGGAGTGTGCTGCTGAGTTAATGTTTCTCCTGACTCTGAAGGAAGCTGAGCGCTTTACTGCTGCATGGTCACCGGTCCTCTACTGAACTGAAAATACTGACACATATCGTCACACTGGGGGTTTTCCTCTGTGTATTATTTACTCAGCAGCCTTGTCATTTTCCTCTGAGAGACTGAAACATTCCTCAACATGTTTTCTGTATCACGGCCCTAAACATGAAGTTAGTTTTGCGGAACAGTTTATAACAAGTAATCTATCAAGGGGTTATTTAGACATTGAAGTAAGGAGTGATAAAATGCTCACACACAAACATTGTGTATGTTTGTGTGTGAGCATTTTATCACTTTAAAAGGTCAATGACATCATGCGTCATCTGCTTGGAGACTGAAAAAACCCCACAAGGACAAATTATGACTCTCTACTCACTGTGAGGGATGTGATGATGCTGCTGTTTCTTGACCACACAGACAACAATATGTGTTCTTAAACATTGATCTCCCACAGTTTTTAAGAAACGAAAGACATTGATTTCCTCTTTCTTCCTCCTTCCCTATTTGAAATATCCAAATATGATTGCCTCGTGAACAAATAAGGGACTGTATTAAAGCAATAAGAGGGAAAGACAGACAGGTAACAGTCATTTATTTTCTTAACTCTTCAATAGCGTTTAGGCCTGGAGCTCGCCTCACTTAATTTAGAGAGTGGGTGTGTTTTTCTTTATTTTCTTGTGCTTTCTATAATTTGATTTTGAGGTTGTTGCAATTTTTTAGGGATAGGTTATGAAGAAGAAAACAGTTAAAAATGCAGTGGAGGGCCTCACTTTTTCACCAAATTAAATGTTAAATTCCCCCCTTCTCCTCCTTTTTTTGAACAAAATCAGTTTGATGCAGAATGAGACACACCTAAGTCTACTGATATGAAGCAATACATATAAATGGTAAATAAAAAATATGAAATAAGGGAAAAACTGAAATAAAACTATGAATTAAGTGTATCCATAACAATTGTAAGAATAATAATTATCACAAATACAAAAACGATGCTGGCTAAAATGTTGTTCACTAATGTGAAAAGAAAGGATTTCCCCTTCCCACACACTCATTAAATAATACACTGAAAATGCAATGTGCCTTTGTACTGTGAGCAGTAACCATTCTCTAACTTCTGACAAGGAAGAGAAAAGTTGAAAATAAGGGGGCGATGACTGGAAATGTAATGAGTTCCTGATATCAGTCATTAAAGTCTGGAACAACATCAAAGTAAAATACAGCTCCAAAAAATTGCCTTTGGTTCTAAAAATTACTGAGAAATTATTTCCTGATGAAATGTGTTTTCTTCCATTCAAAGGACGTCACAAGCCCTGTAGTTCCTGGTAAGAAAAGGTTTTATGTTACTTTAGTCAACATTAACAAGGGGTGTGTTCAAGGTTCGAGTTTCCCTTTAATTAAGTTTTCCTTCCGGTGTCAAATCACATGTGATGATATTTTATAAATGTTGTGATGTTGACATGTGAAGAGGAGTTTCCAGATAGGGGTACTGTGCAGTATTTAATGCCACAGTACTCAGAGTCAGAGAGAGGAGACTGAACAGCAGACAGTACAGTACAACACTTAGAGCAAAAGTTCAATTGTTTTGAGAGATAGAGTACCTTTGCAGAGAGGCAAAATAATTTAATTCAGCACTGCCTTTGGACTGTGCAGTCAGCGAGGTAATTTTGGTTACAGAACAAGGTGGTGCTCAGTGTGACCAAATTAAATGTAGTTAAATGTTTTTCCTTTGCTGGGCAGGGTCATCTTTCTATTTATGTCTGCATTACAGTAGCTTAAATTCAAACTAGATGGAAAACACAATGTTTGACAGAGTACTAACAGTATTTACACTTTTCTATCTTCAGCTACTCCACCACAAACAATCCCTGCCTTTTAAATATTGCAAGCAGGAGGCATCAGCAGGAAAACTGTCCACTAGAGATGACTTCATGCACGAATAAACTGCAGGAGGTCTACAACCAGCTGGGCTTCCTCTCCGCGCTGCCTGTGCTGAATGAGACTCAGCTGAGGGAGGCCAAGCGCGCCTTTTCTGAGCTGGAGGAGGAATTTGGTAAGTAGCACTGGAAGGTGAAGGAGGGAAGGGAAGAAAAAGCATTAAAAGTAATACAGAAATAAGTAAAAATCTAGTAATGAACCAAATGTTGAAATGTAGGCTAGTATTATAAGTGGGTCTGATTTGTCTGTAGTTTTTTTATGAATCAGAATCTTGTTTATTGCAAGTAGGTTTTCAATAAACATAAATATAAAATTGGAAAAGTAGTGTTAGTAAAGTGAAGTTAGGCTCGGAGAATTCAGAATATACTCAGGGGGACGTTCAAATATTCACAGTAAAGAAATCCCCAAAATGTATGAAATAGGATTATAGGTAGTTTTGCACTTGTTATCAGTGATTGAGTATATGTTTGTGTTTCCAGGTGAAGAGTACACTCAGTACAGCCTCCACAATGTTCACCTTCAATATCCCTGGGTGAGGGACCTGACCCAACACCCTCAAATCATACAAGTGGTCAAAGCCATCCTGGGCCCTGACGTTATCCTGCTGGACTCCCGCTTCATCTGCAAATACCCGACACTCAAACCTGACGCCCAGGAGAATGAAGGAGGAAGAAACGATGAACTTCCATATGTGGCCTGGCATCAGGACATGAGGTGGATATTCACAAACTACAGAAAAAAACACTGAGAGGTTTTGTTCTGCTTCGTTTCGTCTCACAGTTGATGTGTTATCTTCAGGTATTGGGGTATTGCTGGCGGCCCGGTCCTCTCTGTGTGGCTGGCTTTAGATGACTCACTGCAGGAGAACGGCGCCCTCCAGCTCATCCCAGGTACCTCAGCTGTTATTAGTGTGTTTACAGCATTCCACTATAGTTCTTCGATTCTTTAATCATCTTCTTATTATTATTATTATTTCACCAAATAGTTTGGCTCTCAATAACTTCAGCATACTTTCAGCTACAGAAGCCATTCAAATATCAAACTGTTCAGCCTTTTCAGCACATGATGGGAAACTTTCAACTTTTTCAAAATATTTTATACTTTTTGAAATATTCAGCTTTTTAAACTCTTTTTTTAACATGGGAGGAACCTTCAAATCCTCTTTTACCTACACCTTGCGCCAAATGCTACTCTTCCACATACTTTCAGCTAGAGACTTCATTCCAACTGATCACAAGACCTTCAGCTATAAAACTTATTTGTCTGATTTTTGATATCTTTTAAGGTTTTTGACTTATCAACGTTTAAGTTTTGGTACATTTTCAGGCTGTTTTAGATTTTATAATGGTTGTCTATGGGAGGGACTCTTCAGGGCGTGTGTGACATCATCACTTAGAGTGTAGAGCAGGGATGGGCAAATGGCGGCCCCCACCTCCTCTTTTTGCGGCCCTCAGATTAATTTATAAACAACGTAATTAATAAAAAAATAAATAAAAAATAAAACATTTTTACTTGTAGTACTGATACCGTCCACTAGACTCCTAGTTACGTCGCGAGCTGCGTAGATGATTTCAAATACCGCGAAATAATCTGTGACGCATTTGTGTGTATTGTGTTTGTTTCCCGGGGAAACACTCACAAGAAACACCGGCTGTTGTTATGCCTGCTGTGACGTTAAGTTACCTCTTGTAATTATGCCTTTACAAGCTTAAAAGTTGTTTTTATCATCTAAATTTGGCGAAACAAGTTTAATATTCTTAAAACCAAGACTTTGTTTATTTGAAATCAGATGAAAACAAACTGTCACGGACCCTGCCGTGTTATCTATGATTACTACGCTTTTCATTCATAATTTCAGCGGGAGGGAGGGGGAGTGGTGCTGAGGAACAGCAGAGTGCGGGCTGACAGGTGTCTGTGTTGACATTCCCCTTATTGTGGAATAAGGGGAATGCAGTGACTGGCTACAAGTGTTTTAGGCAGTGCTTGAATTGGAATGAAAAAGGTGCCAGTACTCTAAAATCAGCAACTTTTTCAAGTCAATTTTATATATACAGCCCACAAACAAGAATTTGGCTACTATAATGCTGGTGGGTTTGTCTCTTTACTACTGTATATTTTAGAAAGGTTCACTGTACTTAACATTTTTTATGATAGGCAGCGGATATGGCTAAAGCTCAGTAAGGTCAATATTAACTGAAAATATAGCAATCAAAGTCTAGATCTTCTGCTGAAGACACATGAAGCAGAGACCTTTCAGGTGAGAGCCCCTCTGGTGGTGTTCAACATTAATGACAAGGAAACAAAGCTCTGGTCAGAAGCATTTTTTATAAAAAGCTTTAACAAAATTAAGTATTTCTGTACATTTTGAATGCAATCTAACTTTCCAACTCAGAAAACGAAAAACGAAAAAGTGCCAAAAGTCTTCTCACATGGCTGAGCTGCTTTGCAATATACTTCACCACTGAAGAATACAAATATGTATAAAGTAAACTATGATGCAATCTAACTTTCCAACTCAGAAAAATGATAAAGAGCATGAACAAAGAACATGTAAAAACAAATGCAAAATTTGCACAATCTAAAATGAGAAACTGTAACTGCAAGTAACAAAGTCTGAGCCATGGTAAAGAGTTACATTGAACACCAAGCTGATCAGATAACTCCCTGGTTGGTCTGAAGTCCTTCTATCTCCAGGATCTGTACAAATCGGCACATTATGCCAAAAGTCTTCTCACTGGGTGAGCTGCTTTGCAATATACTTCACATTGTTAGAAAAGGCTCCAGAAGGCCTTGGGGACATCAGTATCAGGGGCTGAAGCTGGACAGGCTCTTTCATCAGCACTTCTCCTTCCCTTTGCCAGCCAGGACCTCACATACTGTTCCGGATTGAACTGTCCTAGTGATGGTCCATTACATTTAATGAAAACCAGGCTGGACAGTCGGCTGACAGAGAGAGCATTCCTTTTTGCAGTAAGGATATCGTTCATGCAGCTGAATGCCCGCTCACACTCACTAGTGGAGACAGCGATGGTTCGGACTGCTTTCAGTAGAGGCTCCATGGCAGCAGGTGTACGGGATGCCCTGGTTTCCTTGTATTCGCGAAAGCCCTGAACAGTCTCTCTTCTGTCCACTTTCAGCACTTCGCACAAACGTAGCACCTCTACGTCCCCATACTGTACGTCTAACTCCTCTTCAGGCCAACTTCCAGGATGGATAACTTTCATGTCCTGGATTAGCTGATTGTCCCGGGCCTCCCGGCCATGTAATGGGATTTCTCTTGTGCTGACATGAGAGGAGGTTGTGGAAGTCATTCTGTGTCTCAGATTATCTACCATACTGCGGAAAAACTGACCTGCATGAATCTGTACAAGCCTGCCATTCTCACGCAGGGCAACACCCTTGAAGGACTTCTCAGCTAGAGCTGTATGAACTGTAGTCATGTGTGGGCCAGGCATGGTGACCATGGATTAAAAAACTCGTATTTCTCGAGTTAAGAGCCTATCTGCTGTAGGCAGTGTCATCTCTCTTTTTTGGAGTTGCCGAGAGAGGTCGCTGAGCTCTGTGAGCGCATCGTACATCAGTCCCAGATTGCTGACAAACGTTGCAGATGTGAGCACATCATCCAGGCCCTTGTACTTTGCTCTGTCTCTGGAATCCCTGCTCGTGTCGTTTGCAGCATTTGTGAAGTGATCATGAAGCACTCGGTAGTTTTCCCAGACTGCTCTGACGCTCCTTTCACTTGAAGCCACCCAGCGGATGGACAAAACACGCCCTATCACCAGGAGACGCTGTCCGACTGCTTGCGCACACTGCGCTAACTGCCTCTGATTTTTGGGGGAGGCATGGAACAAGGAATAGAGTTTGTCAAAAAAGATCTGGAAATGATTGAGCCCTGAGACCTCCTTGACCACATCCCCAACTGCCAGCTCTAGACGATGATTGGAGCAGTGCCACACAAACAGGCTTCGGAATTTACTACACAACTGGGTAGCAACGCCTGTTCTCTTCCCTAGCATGACTGAAGCCCCATCACATGCAAAAGAAACGAAACACTGACCTAAAAAGTCCTCGTTAAAATCTCTTCCAAGACACTCCATTAACGCCTTTGTGATGTCATCAGCCGTTGTTCCATCCAACTCGATCAGCTCCCAAAAAAACGTTTCGGGCTCAGCATCAGCTAATGCTGAGCGTAGACACACAACAAGCACCGTTTTACCACTAATAGTGGTAGATTCATCGACCAAAACACAGAGTTTTCTTTGTTTTCTGTAATGTCTTTTGCCATTTTTTTCTTCAGCTCATGAGCTATGTGGTCGATGATTTCGCCACAGGTTTTATTGGAGTGCAAAACCCTGCCCACGTTCAGCCCGTATCAGTTTCTGTACATTCAAATCAATTGGCATGTCTGTGAATGGCCGGCTATGTTTGCCAATTTTATATGCCGTTCGAAAAACTCTGATAGTGGTGTCTAATTCAGATTTATGCATAGACTGCACTTGATGTTGAATAGTTTCACGTGAAGCAGATGTAAGGATGTCAGCAGCTTTTACATGGGCTTGTGATTCTTTATGTTCTTTGATTTTTTTTTCTCAGGCTAGCTTGTTGTTTGCCCTTGTCAACACCGAAATGAGACACTGCACACTCACCCCATTCAGTTGACAGTTTCAGTCCTTGTCCAGTGTATATTCCCAAAGATTTGACATCTCTGCATATCCGACATCCTAGCTTCTTATCTTTAAGAAGGAGCCATGCATTGGTCTTGCAAAAATATTGCACCTGGTCCGTTGTCCAGCAGTCAGGTGCATCGCTTTGCCCGGTGTTGGTGGTGGCAGTTGCGCCAGCAGCAGCTAACGTTAGAGGCTCTGGAGGAGGCGGCGGAGCTAGTGCTAATGCTAATGCACTAGAACTTGGAGCAGGAGGATCAACCAAAGAAAGCTCCCCATCAGACACAATTTCCAACACAGGCACAGCATTCTCTGTATTTGAAGTTTCTTCCGGCGACAACCGCTGTCTTTTTGCACTTTTATTAATCCACGCTAACATTTTAGAAATGCTAATTTGTGACGTGACTTGCTTTCCTTCTCTCGGGGGCGTGCCTGCTCTGTTCTATCACTCTACATAGCCACCCACTGGGTGGGAGTTGCACTGCATAAACACAACACACGTGCATCTAGCTATGTAAATTGTAAAGCATTAAAACATGGTTTTACTAACAGTTTTCAGTATGTTGTTACTTCGGCATTATTATTATTATTATTTTGAAACGTGTATTACTATTAAATCACGGTCAAATAGGTTAATTTTGACATAGTCGTTTCCACCACAGTATTTACATGGAGAAGATAAGCCCCGCCCCCTCTCCAGCACGTTCTGTTTGAATGACAGGAGTAAACAGCTGACAGCCGCTGTGAAACTCCAGCGGTTAGAGCGATGAGAATGTCCGTTCGGCACCTCATGACGCATCTACTGAGTACCGGGCGGCTGTATATATATATATATATGGATGTATAATAAGAACGGCGGGAGAGTGTTGAGTACTGGCACGGTGCATGAGTACCGGAGTACCGCCAGCATGCCGGTACTGAGCAAGAAGTGCCGGTACTCCATGGGTCAGAACCAGAAGTGCCGGTACTGCGTACCGGTGAGTACCGGCCCAATTCCAGCACTGGTTTTAGGTTCAAGTTAGACAACTAATGTCTGGGTTAGTCTTCATGACTTCATGTGTATGTCATCTAATGGTTAATCTCAATACACACATATTTTCCGTGCTTTCCAATAGTTTAAAATAGTTTTATTCCACTGTTTAATAACCTGTTCAATACAAACATGCCACTTGTAAAAATGAAATAATATTTCTGTGAACTGATATTTGTTTAGTGAGCTTATTAGAGGATGTTCCCATTTTTGGGGGATGTTCCCTTTGATTGTAAAATGTCAATGAAGATGTCAGACTTAGTATATTTGTTAATAATTACATACAACACATGGAATTTTTGTGTGTGTGTGTTCCAAGTGAATCTGCGGCCCCCTGGTGGCCAGTACATCAATGATGTGGCCCCCACCACCATCAAAGTTGCCCATCCCTGGTGTAGAGGGTCTTAAAAATCTTCGGAAAACATATTTTAAAACTGCTCTCAGAGCCAAAATATACACTCTAATAATTTCAAAAGATTTCAGGAGCATAATTAGTCTGGCCTGCTCAATTGCCTTCATCATATCAAACGGACCCACCGTTCCATTGCCGCTCGAAAGCGCTGGAGACGCTGTAGTACATATGCCAGGCCTGTAAGTGGCGCTGATGTCTGCCACAAAAGCAGCGAAGAAGACTTCCCGAGCATGGTTGCCATGGTTGCCCTTCGGTTTATTCTCCGCTGTGGCTCTTTTTCTCCCTCCCCGAGGCAAGCGTTTGCTCCCGCTGCTGTAATTCAATGCAATCCCTCCCCGTCGAGGCAAGCACTGTACATCTCTCCGGTTAGTCCACCAGCAGATGACAAACACCCACCTCTCCGCCTCTTCCAAGGAACGAGGGGACCGTGCGGCAGAGTTTTCAGTTTTCAGATGTCCGTTAAAGTTTAAATCTTCCGGACAAAATTAGAAAAGTGCCGGTCAAAGGTCTTCTTTGTTATTTATTGACCTTTAAAACAAATGAATAACGACTCTATATAATAATATAATAAAACACGGAGGACGGAGATCTATTTTTCTCCCCCTCTCCTGCAGGGGGCGTGGTCAGCTGCAGCTCACAGAATCAGCCCCCTGCAAAAACAGGGCTGGAGAACAGCAAATAGAGTGAAATGAGGCATGGCTAAAATGCATGATCTGTTTGGTATTTTGAAAACAGAAACGTATAAATATACCTTATATAGGTATGGCTCTACAATATATCATTTAAATATAGCATGATAGGTGTCTTTTAAATGTGTCCGGAACTTTCTTCAGAACAGAGAGAAGTAAACTTTAGATAAACTGCTCCCATCTTCACATTTTACAAACAAAACCCCCCAAAAAAAAAAAATCAGTTCATTGGGGTTCCCTGATGCTCACTTTCTGGCATTCTTAATGGGACTAAGTGCTGCAGTTGGTAACCATGGTGTTGCTGGGCAGATTGGGGCCACACACCTGAGTGACATCATCTAATCAGAGCAGACACGCCCACAGACAGACTGGTACATGCACACACAAACACTGGATGTTTATACTATATGTTCACACACACACACACACACACACACACAGTCAGACAGGGACACACATACAAACACATGCACACACACACACACACATACACATTTTACAGCATTCACACGCATTTTGTAGTTCCTTAAGCTGCTGTGCTGGTTGGACCTTAGCTAGACAAAAGCCACATAAAGTTTTTATTGACTCCCATTACAAACAATAAATACCAAAAGTACACACATCCATACTCAAGTAGAAATACAGAAACTCGGGTTTAAAAATACTCTGGTAAAAGTAGAAGTACTGAGTAAACTTCTTTACTCAAGTAAAAGTAAAGAAGTATGGGCTTCGAAATGGACTTAAGTAAAAAGTACCCATAACTACCAACTGTTTTAAAGAGTAACTGACCTCCCTTTATAATAATGGAACAATCATGTAATTTTTAGCTAATGAATGTTTCGATGCTGAACAATGGAAAAATGACAAAGTTCTCATTGGTCCCTCTTCTTTAGAGAAGAAAAGGAAATGATGGATACATGGATCGTGTTAAACTCAATAGGCACGGAATGACTCTAAATAATAATGATCACGCCACCAAACACAGATCAAATCTAAATTAACGAGCCTGTGTTAAAATGTCAAAGTAAAAAGTTGTCAGAAAAATAAGTAGTGGAGTAAAGTACTGATACCAGAAAAATTTACTTAAGTACAGTAACGAAGTATTTGTACTCCATTACTTCCCACCTCTGTAAAAAGGGTGTAACTTTTTCTCTCGGTGCCCTGCAGGTAGCCACTGCGCCGACATGTTACCCCACCGCCAGGCCACCCGTCCTGGAAACATGCTGTCAGTCAACCAGGAGATCCCAGAGGAGCTGCTGCAGACTGATGAGGCTGTGTTCTGCCCTCTGTTAGCTGGCCAGATGTCTGTGAGTGTATTTATTGTGCAGTGCTTTTAATAGGCTTGAATTAAAGAAGGTGAATTAATTAGGCTTTGTTTTCACAGATTCATGATGGACTCCTGGTCCATGCCAGTGATGCCAACACATCCCAGAGAAGGCGCTGTGGGCTTGTGATCCGTTATGTTCCCACCTGTGCACATCCCACCCAGGTGAGATCAACATGGTAGATGTATTGTTATATTTCATCATAATTTCACAGACTTGTTCTGTGTGTTGATCTTGTTTTTTTATGTTGCTGATAGGATCCTGATCGTCCCAGGAAATTTGCTGCAACAATGTTGGCCTGTGGATCGGATCGCTTCAATCATTTCTCCGACAAAACCACATGAATCCTTCCTAGATTCATCCTACGTGCTACAGTCACTTTACTGAAATATGTTTTCAACTCAAACCAAGTGTCTCCTATGTTGATTAATAATGTAGTTTAACAGAAGAAGGACAGGTCTTTATGGTAGTTTATTCTACATTTCAGAAGTATTTATTTATGTCTGGATTGTGAATAGTGTGCCTTGATTGCTTAAATGTTCAGAATCTGTGTAATTTGCAATGATATTCATTTACTTGTACTGTTTTTAAATGATTAAAAAGAAACATTAGAAAACACTTTCACTGGTCACTCATTACATCTCAGTTCAACCCAATGAAAGATATGAAAGACATCATTAGTAAAGGCTCATCAATGGAGTATTGAAATATTATCCAAAATGGAGGTATTTCTTTTTTCTTTTTTTAATCCAGCACTTCCTCTATACAGTATATACTCAGCTTGTTTTAGGGGGAAATCTGTAAAACATCTATAAATAAAATCAGGCACCTTCAGTGATTCAATACTTTACATTTGATTCAGGTGAATTAGATTCCCTAGAGATTGTCCTTAAACCGGACTGGACTCAATGAACGTGTTATCTCTCACCCAAATAACTGTTCCATGCACTTCAAGGTTTTCTTTATAAAACACGAAAGTAGACACAATGTTACACACTGATATTCAGAATATAGCATTGCACAGTCATTTATCTTTAGTGTTTTTTTTCTGGTTCTACTACATACTAAAATAAAGGTTTACCAGTGCCAAAATTACATTCATAGATTAACTTACTATTTACATTTTTGGTGTGTAACATTTTTTTATTGCCCCTTTTCATGCAGCTCAATGCTGATTTTGAACGTGTTAAAAAGGGAAAAACCACAGGTATCTCTGGCCTATATGTGGGCTTAAAATTCATCTGACTATGAAAAGAAAAATGTGAAGTACAACCACTATTCACAGTATATTGTGCTATATGAAAATATTGTGGAGTGTACCAAATGTTCATTGCTTTAAAAGAAGAAAAAACTCAAAATTGTAATTCCAAGAGTGTATTTTATTGAAAATCTCAAAACAACACAACATAGACATCACTGCTATAACTTTATATTGAACACCGTGTTTGTATAGAAAATCACAATAGGTTTTTAATCACAACCATGCAGTGTGTAATCAGTGACCTCCTAGGCCAGCTTCAGTGTCTCTTTAACCATGACCCCTATTCCATCAAAAACATTATGAATAGGAGCATTGCACATGAATGCAGCGGTGGTGACCAGCTTGTTTTTAACATCAACGTGAGCTTTCTCCACATCTGTGTTGACGTGTTTGCAGCCCATTTCCTTCATAGCGCCTGCGGTCTGAGCGTACGGCCACCTGGAGATAATTGAGAAAGAAAAGTTAGAAATGTAGATAATTTTCTCTTTATATGCAAAGACATTTGATAAAGCCAAACTGTGTCACACACTTTTCACACTCCTTGTCCTGTCCCACAGTGAGCTCACAGCCGGGCAGGATTTTGGCAGCGAGGACGGGGGAGATGCAGCACATGCCCATCGGCTTTCCAGCCTTGTGGAAAGCCTTGAGGAGCTTCTCCAGATGTGGCTGCACGGTGCAGTCCTTGTTCTTCACTGCCCAGTCACTCAGGTTCTTTGCCACACCAAAGCCCCCTGGAAGACAACAGAACAAAAACGAATAATTAAATAAAACAGAGAGAAATATGAGATATTGTTCTTTGCAGCATTTATTTATTGCAGCCTAACCTGGGATGATGACGGCATCGAAGTCTGAAACTTCCAACTTGGCCAGATCAGTCACGTCACCTCTGGCAATGCGAGCACTTTCCTGCAGGATGTTTCTTTTCCTCCTCTGTGGGTTTCCCCCTCACAGTGGTTGACAACATGCATCTGCTCTGTGTTTGGAGCAAACATCTTCACCTGAAATGAAGAATGTCAAAATGTAGACTCTGAGGACTGTGGAATCTCTTTAGGGTTGTTATAATACATTAACCACTTACTAAAAGAAGAGAAACGTCAAACTGAAAACTGCAGTCCTTCTTAATAGGACCAAAAACAGATGAATACACTTTAGTACATTTACTTCTCTTCTTTTCTTGCCCTTACTTTAGCCCCAGCTCGACTCAGATGTACGAGGACAGCAGAGGCCTCGTGGACCTCTGTGCCGTCATAGACTCCGCAGCCTGAGAGAATAACTGCAACACGCTTTGCCATGGTTCCTGTGAAACACACATAAAGCACATACATTTATCAAATGGGTCTTACCCTTGTTTAAACATTGCTGTTTGTTTCCCTATCACACATGCAGAGCTCTGCTGCAGTGCCACCTGTTACACTTGTTGACATAAAAAATGCACGGGGACAGAGGGACCCAGGAGAGCTGCTACTGCTGCCAGGTTACACTGTTGTTGACACCAGTGGGCACGAGATACAGGAAGAGTCTGAATTAATGAGCAGCACTGTAAAATGAATATGTCTAAGACACTTTTTAAGCATTTCAACATCTCTCAATGCATTTTGCAGTGCTACTTTACATTAATGTATACAAATATAGTCTAAAATCAACATGTGTTGGTTCCTAAAAAATATAAGGAATAAGCTTAAGGTTAAGTTTAGATAGCAGAAGAGAAGACAGTGTAGATATATCTCACCTTGTATACGTGCAGGTTAGGCTGTGTGTAATGGAGCAGTTCAGCAGAGAGGTGTGAGGCTGTAATCTGAAGCAGAGTCTTTATATCGTGCCTGTCTCCTCCCACACTGCTGTCCAAAAGGGTGGGATTAAGGTAACCAGGAACCTGATGGATTGACTCAGTTACCTTTTAAGGTAACATGCTGAGTCATCCCTCTCAGATTTCAATGCACAACAATGGGGAAAATGTAGGAACATTTAAATTACTATATGAAACGATTTTGACTGGTTTGCATACACTACAATACAAATGTGATAATTATTTGATGGATAAAGATGTATTAGGTAATTTACTGTATTTCTAGGCTTAATAAATACAGAGCAAATAACAGGTGCTTTTAGTATAATATGAATGTTTGGACATTTTGTGTGACAGTTGGAAGAAATATATTAGCCTAAAACATATTAAGCAAAACAAAAATCACCTATTTGTTGTTAATATTAACATGAGTTTGAAATGAATATATAGAAGAATATAAAGATGTTTTTTAAGACGTATTTTCAAACGGGATGATTCATTTGAGTAGCCTATTTTTCTTCTTTGACTGTCTGTGACGCACCTGTCTCGGCATTTCCCGGTGAGGGGAAGATCAGGAGTTTGCGTGCTGACGTCACACGCAGCTGTATAAAGCAGCTTCACGTGCTCAGAGCTCAGCTGTACTCCGCTATGGCTCACCCCCACTCTCTGCATGAGTCCGTCGGCATACTGGGCATCTCTGGAGGTTAGTAACCAGTGCTGGAATTGGGCCGGTACTCACCGGTACGCAGTACCGGCACTTCTGGTTCTGACCCATGGAGTACCAGGCACTTCTTGCTCAGTACCGGCATGCTGGCGGTACTCCGGTACTCATGCACCGTGCCAGTACTCAACACTCTCCCGCCGTTCTTATTATACATCCATATATATATATACAGCCGCCCGGTACTCAGTAGATGCGTCATGAGGTGCCGAACGGACATTCTCATCGCTCTAACCGCTGGAGTTTCACAGCGGCTGTCAGCTGTTTACTCCTGTCATTCAAACAGAACGTGCTGGAGAGGGGGCGGGGGCTTATCTTCTCCATGTAAATACTGTGGTGGAAACGACTATGTCAAAATTAACCTATTTAGACCGTGATTTAATAGTAATACACGTTTCAAAATAATAATAATAATAATGCCGAAGTAACAACATACTGAAAACTGTTAGTAAAACCATGTTTTAATGCTTTACAATTTACATACCTAGATGCACGTGTGTTGTGTTTATGCAGTGCAACTCCCACCCAGTGGGTGGCTATGTAGCGTGATAGAACAGAGCAGGCACGCCCGCGAGAGAAGGAAAGCAAGTCACGTCACAAATTAGCATTTCTAAAATGTTAGCGTGGATTAATAAAAGTGCAAAAAGACAGCGGTTGTCGCCGGAAGAAACTTCAAATACAGAGAATGCTGTGCCTGTGTTGGAAATTGTGTCTGATGGGGAGCTTTCTTTGGTTGATCCTCCTGCTCCAAGTTCTAGTGCATTAGCATTAGCACTAGCTCCGCCGCCTCCTCCAGAGCCTCTAACGTTAGCTGCTGCTGGCGCAACTGCCACCACCAACACCGGGCAAAGCGATGCACCTGACTGCTGGACAACGGACAAGGTGCAATATTTTTGCATGGCTCCTTCTTAAAGATAAGAAGCTAGGATGTCGGATATGCAGAGATGTCAAATCTTTGGGAATACACACTGGACAAGGACTGAAACTGTCAACTGAATGGGGGTGAGTGTGCAGTGTCTCATTTCGGTGTTGACAAGGGCAAACAACAAGCTAGCCTGAGAAAAAAAAATCAAAGAACATAAAGAATCACAAGCCCATGTAAAAGCTGCTGACATCCTTACATCTGCTTCACGGTGAAACTATTCAACATCAAGTGCAGTCTATGCATAAATCTGAATTAGACACCACTATCAGAGTTTTTCGAAAGGCATATAAAATTGGCAAACATAGCCAGCCCATTCACAGACATGCCAATTGATTTGAATGTACAGAAACTGAATGGGCTGAACGTGGGCAGGGTTTTGCACTCCAATAAAACCTGTGGCGAAATCATCGACCACATAGCTCATGAGCTGAAGAAAAAAATGGCAAAAGACATTACAGAAAACCAAAGAAAACTCTGTGTTTTGGGTCGATGAATCTACCACTATTAGTGGTAAAACGGTGCTTGTTGTTGTGTCTACGCTCAGCATTAGCTGATGCTGAGCCCGAAACGTTTTTTTGGGAGCTGATCGAGTTGGATGGAACAACGGCTGATGACATCACAAAGGCGTTAATGGAGTGTCTTGGAAGAGATTTTAACGAGGACTTTTAGGTCAGTGTTTCGTTTCTTTTGCATGTGATGGGGCTTCAGTCATGCTAGGGAAGAGAACAGGCGTTGCTACCCAGTTGTGTAGTAAATTCCCAAGCCTGTTTGTGTGGCACTGCTCCAATCATCGTCTAGAGCTGGCAGTTGGGGATGTGGT